CCCCTTTGCCCTCCATCTACCTGGCCAACGTCCAGTCTCTGCCCAACAAGACGGACGAGCTTCTGTGTCGGGTCCAGAGCCAGCGAGAGGCCCGAGACTGCGCTGTGTTCTGCCTCAGCGAGACGTGGCTCCATCCAGGCGTCCCGGACTCTGCTGTTCAGCCCCCGGGATTCACCGTTCACCGCGCGGACAGAGAAAAGGAGACCACGGGGAAATCCAGAGGTGGAGGTGTGTGCTTTTTAATTAATCAGCGCTGGTGCACGGACACTCGCATCGTGAACCAAACATGTACTGCAAATCTGGAATGCCTGGTCTTGAGCTGTCGCCCTTTTTATCTTCCCGCGGGAGTTTTCTGTGATATTTCTATGCGCTGTTTACATCCACCCACGAGCGGACTATACTGTAGCACTACAGGATCTGAGCGAGATCCTTCATAAATACGAGACTGCTCATCCTAATGCAGTGATTATTGTCGCTGGGGATTTTAACAAATGTAATTTAAAGACTGTACTCCCAAATTTCTACCAACATGTGACTCGAGCTACAAGAGGAGCACATGTTCTGGATCACTGCTACAGCAATGTGAAGGGAGCTTACAGGTCCAGTCTCAGACCTCCATTTGGAAAGTCCGATCACTCCTCTGTTCTCCTTCTTCCTTCGTATACTCAGAGGAGCAGGGAACATAAACCAACCTCACGCACTGTGCAGTGTTGGTCCGAGGAGGCTAGCATGAAGCTACAAGGGTGTTTTGATGCCACTGACTGGTCTGTGTTTCAATCAGAGGATGTTAATGAATTCTGTGACGCTGTGTCTGGATACATACGCTTCTGTATTGACTGCTGTGTCCCACAGAAGGTCATTAAAGTACATCTCAGTCAAAACCCTTGGATGAATGCGGAAGTGAAACAAAAACTTCATGAGCGTGCTCTGGCGTTTCAATCTAACGATACAGTTGCCTATAAGCTATCCTGTTATGCATTGAAACGTTCTATTAAATCTGCAAAGCGCAGTTATGGGGACAAGTTAAAGGGTTATTTTAAGGAAGATGACCCTCGGCGCATGTGGAGCGGTATTAAAGCCATCACGTCCTGGAAACCTAGTGCCGGGTAAATCGGATCTGTTGGCCCAGCTCTGCCTAATGAGCTGAACACGTTCTACTGCCGCTTCGAATCTGCCGATGCCTGTCCTACTGTCTTTCCTGATTGCCTCAATCAAGGTGCGTTCACCGTGACTCAGGAGGCAGTCCAGCGGGTCTTGTCCAGCACCATTGTCCGGAAAGCCCCTGGCCCGGACGGCATCCCTCCTCGTGTCCTGAAACTGTGCTCTGAGCAACTTGCTCCTGTGCTAACAGACATTTTTAACCTGTCGCTAAGGAACTGTACTGTGCCGAACTGCTTTAAAGAGTCGACCATTATCCCAGTTCCTAAGAAAACTCCTGTGACATGCCTTAATGACTATCGCCCTGTGGCCCTCACTTCTGTCCTAATGAAGACTTTCGAGCGGCTTGTGCTGGACTTCATTAAGAGCCAGATCCCTGTGAGTGTTGACCCGCTCCAGTTTGCTTACAGACAGAACAGGAGTGTGGAGGATGCCATCTCCTTTGCTCTGAACTCTGTCTACAGTCACTTGGACAATAGGAAATCTGTTGCAAGAATGCTGTTCATTGATTATAGCTCTGCTTTTAATTGTCTTGTCCCAGGTAAACTGATTGAAAAGCTCATGTCTCTGGGTTTAAGTGTTGCCATGTGTAAATGGATCTATAGCTTTTTAACTGACAGATCTCAGAGAGTGAAAATCAATGACTGTTTTTCAGATGTTGTTTCTGTGAGCACTGGATCTCCTCAGGGATGTATTTTGAGTCCTTTACTCTTTACACTGTACACTCATGATTGTGTGTCTTCCTCAGACTCTAACCTGATCATCAAATATGCTGATGACACCACCATCATCGGTCTCATCAGTAATAACGATGAATCCTCTTATAGAGCCGAGATCCAAAACGTGGTTCAGTGGAGTAAGGCTAACAACCTCCAGCTGAACGCATCCAAAACATGCGAACTGGTCTTTGATTTCAGTCGCAATAGTTCTCATTTGCCTGTCGCAATCGATAACTCCCAAGTGCAGATTGTAGAGGAGTGTAAGTTTCTGGGTTTAACTCTGTCTAACCTGAAATGGGTTAAAAACACTGACCGAGTCGTAAAGAAAGCTCGTCAGCGTCTCTACTTCCTGCGGAAACTTAGAGAATTTACCACTAACTCTAAGATTCTGTTGAACTTTTATCGCTGCACCATTGAGAGTTTGCTTGTTGGTTCTGTGTCTGTGTGGTTCGGTAACATCACAGATAAAGAAAAGAGAGCTTTAAACAAGGTGCTCCGCTCTGCAGAGAGGACCGTGGGCTGCGAGCTTCCTGTTCTGGAGGTTCTTTATCAATCCAGACTTTTTAACAGTGCCCTGAGAATTATCAGAGACTCTTCTGGCCACCCAGGAAAAGCCTTGTTCCAGCTTCTTCCCTCTGGCAGAAGATACTACTCGGGCGACAGTAGCTCGTTTGGTAGAGCTTTGGCCTTTGAGCCAGAAGGTCGTGGGTTCAAGCCCCGCTCAAGACTTTCACCATCGACTCCCACTGTCTGCTGTCGTTGTGTCCTTGGCAAGACACTTAACCTCTGGGAACATCAGCCACAGTGGGGCGGCTGCGGCTGTAAAGTGCCAAACTGCCGTTGTGTCCTTAGGCAAGACACTTCACCCCCATTGCCTAGAATGAGTCTGGTGTGTGTGTGAATGGTTGGTGGTGGTCGGAGGGGCCGATGGCGCATACTGGTTGCCTCGCTTCTGTCAGTGTGCCCCAGGGCAGCTGTGGCTACAGTAGTAGTTTATCACAACCGTGTTTGGAGTGAAAGAATAATGACACATGTGCGGCGTCTTTGAGTGTCCAGAAAAGCGCTATATAAAACCGATGCATTATTATTATTATTATTACTGTTCTCTGTGATGCAGGACATCTCGTCATGCTAACAGTTTTTTTCCACGAGCTGTTAACAGTTTGAATAGAGCACTTTAATGTTTTGCACTCGTATAGATCTGTTTTAAGTTGGTCAACTTCACGGTGACATTTGTTGTGACATTTGTTTACTGTTTTTAAAATTTGTTTTATTTTGTCTTTTAATGTTGTTTTGTGTCTGTACTTGTCCTGTGCACACGGGGAACTTTTACAAATATATTCCAATGTGGTGTATACATACTGCAAATGGCGAATAAAATGAATCTGAATCTGTATATTTGTGTCACTAACTGCTGAAGTTTCAAATTCTCTGTTCAGTTTTCATGTAGTTCGAGAGAGTTCTAGTTTTGAACGTCCAGTTATAGATAGCTAGGAGGGCTGTTACTCGCCGAGGTTGTCCTCCAGTATGGCTGCCGTGGCTGCTAGTCACGTGACCGTAGGATCCCTCTATTGTTGAATGTCTATTTGTAATTGTTGTTTTTGATTTTTCCGAAAGTCCAGGGTGGGTATGAAAGTCAGACTAGCGTGCGGGTGTGTCTCTCTGAGGAGAGAGTGTTGGCACTGGCCCTCCAATTATACTGGGTGGTCCTGGGTCGTTGGAAGAAATGTTGTTGTGACCCAGGCCAGTCTTCCCTCATGGTCAGTCTGTAGACCATGTGGTCTAAAAGGTTGGTAACTTTTTCTCCGTAGGTAAGACACTTTTTTTCTTTTTTTCAATAGTCTGTGTGTTAAGCGGCAACGTTTCGACGGAGGTCCGTCTTCCTCAGGCCTCACACACAGACTGATGTGAGCAGCAGGTGGAGTTGGCTTTTATGATGGAGCACGCCCCCCTTGCGCTATGCGCCTCCTTCCGTCAGGTGGTATGCAAATGATGTCATTGTGACGTTGTCTGGGGCCTACGTGCAGTTTCCAGGTATCTATATTTTGATGTTTTATTGTTTGTATACAGTTGCTCTGTGATGTTTTTCTCTTTTAATAAAATGTTCTTAAAGCAATGGTGTCCGTGGATTTGTTTCTGGGTGAATTTAACTTTATTAAGCACAGGGATGGTTATGTTTTAGGTGTTTATCTCCAAATGGTTAAGGTTAGGATATGTGTTTCGGGTTGGGGCTAGGTTTTATATATTGATGATTTGGTTAAACATAGGAATGGTTAATTTTTAGGCAATACAAATCAGGGATGGTTAAGTTTTAGGCTTTTGTGTCAGGGCGGTTAGGTTTAGGAATTTGGGAACAGGAGTGGTTAAGTTTTAGGCTTTTAAATCCGGTATGGTTAATTTTATGGCCTTTGTATTAGATTTTCTGTCCTTCTGGATGTTAGTGCAGACTTATTCTACTCTTATGGGTCCGGTAAAGGTGAGTATGGGTGATATTGTTCAGGTTTGTATGCTATACTTCCTGGTTATTTTGCTCAGTCATAGATATATAGATATAGATAGTCATCAGATAAGTCATCCTTATCAGGATGTATTTGTAGTAGTAGTAGTAGTAGTAGTAATCTTTATTTATATACCGCCTTTTCACTGCACATCGGAGTCTCAAAGCGGTTTACAATTGTGATTTTTGGGAGGGGGGGTGCCAGTACAGGAGGCACATGCCAGACCTATTGTACATATCTTTAGTGGTAGGGGAAACCGGAGCACCCAGAGGAAACCTACGCAGACACGGGGAGAACATGCAAACTCCACTCAGAAAGGCCCTGGTCCAACCGGGATTCGAACCCAGGACCTTCTTGCTGAGAGGCGAGAGTGCTATCCACTCAGCCACCGTGCCGAGTGGATAGCACTCAATGGATTCAATACAAATGATTCAATTTGTATTGAATCATTTGTTGTAAGATGGAATCTTTGGTTTCCCCTATGTATTGTTTCTCACATTTGGTGCAGAAGATGGAGTAGATGCAGTTCCGGGTTTCTGGGTGGAAGGTTTGTGTGATTTTATGGTACAGGTTTTTGGAATGGTTTTTGATATATTTCAGATTTATGAAGATGTCTTTTATTGGGTTATGCTTCTTGACGTTCTGTAGTGATCAGAGTGTGGGTTAGGTTTATGTGTGGGGTCCCGTCTCCAACGTGTGGAGTCGGGAAGTGTACGGGCCCTATCTCTCCGTCCGGGCTGGGCGGTATGGTCAAAGCTCCAGGCAGGGCCGGAAGGGCGAGTGGGCTCTCCCCGGCGACTGCCTGCACGTCTGTGGCGATGTGGACGCTCGGTCTCTCTCTCAGGGCCTCTGGTCCACTCACCAGGCCGTCTCCGGGGGCCACGCTCCCACGAGGAACCCCCTCCCCTCTCTCTCCAGCGCTCGTCCCGGTAATAGTTATCCTCCCGCTGGCCCCGGGGGGGCCTGCGGTTGTGGCCCCTCCAATCGTGCGTGGGCCGATCATGGTAGGAGTAGGAGGCAGTGAGTATCTGTAGCTTTAAAAAATACTTTGGTGTCCAGTCTGTGTGTTTTATTAAACCAAGAATACATGCATGAGAAAACTAGTGATAGATATGAGAGTGAGAGAGGAACCAGAGAGAGAGACCTGAGAGGAACCAGAGAGAGAGACCTGAGAGAAACCAGAGAGAGACCTGAGAGGAACTAGAGAGAGAGACCAGAGAGGAACTAGAGAGAGAGACCTGAGAGGAACTAGAGAGAGAGACCTGAGAGGAACTAGAGAGAGAGACCTGAGAGGAACTAGAGAGAGAGACCAGAGAGAGAACCTATCAGTACCACAGTGGGGATGTTGCCGCGCTCAGAGCACGCTAACTATACATACAAGTAGCTGTAAATTCAAATCGTCCCCAAACCACTTCCTAAATCAGTTCAGAACGGTTCAAAGGTCATCGCTGACGTCACCAAACGCTTACGCCACGGATCTTTAATAACACGGGTCACGAGCAGAAATCGCATATTATAATAGTGCTGTATTCTTAAATAAACTGTAGAGTTCAGATGCAATATGTTAACCATTGTGATATTTTCTTTGACCAGCAGAGGGGGTGCACCGTTCCTGGAGGTACTGCAATACCAGGTCGATGCGTGGAGTGGACGGAGCAAGCCCCTATTCCATCTCCCAGTTCCAAAAATCAATTTAATATATGGTCCCCGGGTAGGGGACGTATCAGATATTAAACTGATAAGAACAGATTTTTTCATTCGAAAAGGTTTATTGACACAGGTCATCATTATGGCATTTAAACAACACATACATTTTCCATTTAACACAACATACAAGGTTAAAAATAAGTAATTTCCATGAAACCAGGGTTGTGTTTAAAATGTGTCAAAAATGTCCATAAAAACAGGTGTCATAAAAACCCATAAAAAGTGTCAATTAAAACGGAGTGCAGTGAATAAAAGTCCTCCTTGTGCAGAAGCGGGGTGAGTCCCTATCAAGTCGGACTCATCCTGCTCTACCAAACATTTGGTCTCTCGGGCCTGTCTTGCTCAGAGGTCCTCGCCCTCGCTCCTTCCCACCGTCCGCTCCCGGAGAGTCAGGCCGTTGCGGCTTTGACCTTCAGTGCGGCTTCGGTCTCCTTCGTCCGAATGAGCACAGAGGCGATGCTTCTGTGTGGCTGTGTCCTAGGGCCCGCCGCCTGCAGCCACAGCCTCTCGGACTGTGGCCGCTGCCATCCGGATCACAGCCACGGGGGGAATCTGCATGTGCCTTCCTACCAGCAGGTTTCTGGAGGTCCATGTGGCGTCTTTGGTGGCGGCGAGGGTGAGCCAGATTCTTGTGAAGTCCTTTTTTGAATTCGGACTTAGGCCCACCCCGTACAGCATCAGCTGTGCTGTGAGGACCTCCCCTGCTGGTAGGTACGGGAATTGCAAGGAGCCGGCTATTGCCCACTGGTCGACGGCGGCGCTGCACTCCCAGAGCAAGTGTCTCACCGACTCGGGCGCGCCACAACCCGGCCGGGGACAGGTCGCGGACTGTAAGAGGCCCCGGGAGTGCATGACGGACCTGACTGGGAGGACCTCATGAGCCACCATCCAGGACAGGTCCCGGAGTCTGTTTGGCAGAGCAGGATGGTTCACGTTGCGCCACACCTGTGAGGGCTCGCCGATTGCGAGCCCGCGCACCGAACTCACTGGTTCCCGCCCCTGCACACAGGAGATTAAAAGACGGTGTTTGGTTAAAACCTGCAACTCCTCCTGCTCCAAGTTAAAACGCTTTAAAAAGGTCGGGATAAAAGCATAAAACAAGGGCAGGTTAAAAGACACAGGGACTCTTAGGTCAATGGGTAAAAACTTTTTCCTTCTTAAAAAGGAGCCCATCCAGAATCTTGTAAAAGCAGTTGTTTTGGGGTTTCTGGATGGGCTCGTCGCCAGAGCGAGGTGAAGGGCGGTGAAGCGGGCTCCAAGGAACAGAGGGAGGTCCGGCACGCCTTTGCCTCCTTTCTCCTTTGGCTTCTTCAGGACCTCCCTCCTCACCCGCTCCCACTTGGAGCCCCAGATGAAATAAAACACCGCCCTCTCCAGGTTTAAAATCGCTCTCCTAGGATGCATAAAAACAGAACAAATGAGTAAAAACAAAGGTAAAATCACGGCTTTGATGATTAAAACCTTCCCTTCCATGGTCAGTCCTCTAAGAGTCCAGAACCCCAGTCGTTGCCTAACTTTCCCTATGACGTCGCCCCAGTTTTGACTCCCTCCCCCCTCCCGGTCAAACCTGATTCCCAGTATTTTTTGTCCTTGGGTCACGGTCAGGGGGAGTCCAGCAGTCTCGTCGGGGGTCCAGGGTCCAGGGTCCATAAAATTGGGCTTGGGTCTTCGCTCTGTTGAGCTTAGACCCAGAGGCCAGTCCAAACCAGTCAGTCAAGTCCAGAGTCCTGTTGACAGATAAAAGGTCGGTGCATAAAACATTCACGTCGTCCATATATAAAACACATTTGGCGGTAAGCCCCCCCCCCACCCGGGATGCCCACCCCCCTGATTCGTTGGTCCCTTCTCAAGACCTGTGCCAGCGGCTCGATGCAGAGTATGTACAGGAGGGCAGATAACGGACAGCCCTGACGGACACCGCAGTTGATTTGCACTGCCTTTGTCAAATGCCCGTTAACAATGAATCTGCTGCTGATCCCACGGTATAGCAGCCCCACCCACTCTATATACCTGTCAGGTAAACCCACTTTTCGCAGCACCTCAAAGAGGTACTGGTGCGAGAGGCGATCGAAGGCTTTCTCGAAGTCTAAATTTAGGACTACTAGCCGAATGTTTCTGTCTCTCGCATAACAGATGGTGTCTCGGATCAGTACGAGGCTGTCGGTGATCCTCCTCCCGGGTACGGCACAGGCTTGATCCGGGTGAATCAATCCCTCTAAAAGCACAGACAGACGTGAGGCTAAAATTTTACTAAAAAGTTTACAATCAACATTTAAAAGCGTGATGGGTCTTCAGTTAGTCAAGTCAGTCTTGTCTTTGTCTTTGGGAAGTAAAGTCACTATCCCTTCTCTAAAACTGTCTGGTAGTCGGCCTAGGGTTAGGGTTAGGGTTAGGGTTAGGGGTTAGGGGTTAGGGTTAGGGTTAGGGTTAGGGTTAGTATACAAAGTCATTGTCCCCCGAAGGGTACAACAAAATGCACGGGCCCTCTCCCTGACTCTGGACCAAGCGGGTGTTCTGGGCACTGGCAACCACCATGATGGCCGCCATCTTGTGTCCAGGGGGTTCAAAAAATTGCTCTATAGTAGAGTGTATGTGTAGAAAAATTGTAGGCGCTACGTTTCGACAGCTTCTTGTGTCTTCTTCAGGCGAGTTCTACACTGACTGGAGGCACTCTGTTCGGTGTCCTCTTTTATATGGTGTACAGGCTCCGCCCCCCCACTCTTGTTGAGTAACCAATGAACTAATTTAGTTTCCAATTTATGTCTTCCTGTGACTGGTTAAGTTTAGGGCTGTTCCCCTCTATGGTTAAGGTTAGGGCCAGGAGCTAGGCTAGACTTTAGCTCTACTCTACTATGGCCACAATCTTGACAGTAGTCCAAGTGCGCATTTTGGCTGCTTGTTTCCTGCACAACATGAAGATCAATTGCGACTTGCTTATTGTCTCCACGTTTACAAGATTGTATACTAGAATTGAACAAATTTAGTTTCAAATGGGTTCTTCCCTGATGCTAATGCTAGTGCCTTGAGTTAAGGTCATGGTGTCCAGAGACTGGGCGAGGCACTGGCCAGTAATTAGTATACAAAGTCATTGTCCCCCGAAGGGTACAACAAAAATGCACGGGCCCTCTCCCTGACTCTGGACCAAGCGGGTGTTCTGGGCACTGGCAACCACCATGATGGCCGCCATCTTGTGTCCAGGGGGTTCAAAAAATTGCTCTATAGTAGAGTGTATGTGTAGAAAAATTGTAGGCGCTACGTTTCGACAGCTTCTTGTGTCTTCTTCAGGCGAGTTCTACACTGACTGGAGGCACTCTGTTTGGTGTCCTCTTTTATATGGTGTACAGGCTCCGCCCCCCCACTCTTGTTGAGTAACCAATGAACTAATTTAGTTTCCAATTTGTGTCTTCCTGTGACTGGTTAAGTTTAGGGCTGTTCCCCTCTATGGTTAAGGTTAGGGCCAGGAGCTAGGCTAGACTTTAGCTCTACTCTACTATGGCCACAATCTTGACAGTAGTCCAAGTGCGCATTTTGGCTGCTTGTTTCCTGCACAACATGAAGATCAATTGCGACTTGCTTATTGTCTCCACGTTTACAAGATTGTATACTAGAATTGAACAAATTTAGTTTCAAATGGGTTCTTCCCTGATGCTAATGCTAGTGCCTTGAGTTAAGGTCATGGTGTCCAGAGACTGGGCGAGGCACTGGCCAGTAATTAGTATACAAAGTCATTGTCCCCCGAAGGGTACAACAAAATGCACGGGCCCTCTCCCTGACTCTGGACCAAGCGAGTGTTCTGGGCACTGGCAACCACCATGATGGCCGCCATCTTGTGTCCAGGGGGTTCAAAAAATTGCTCTATAGTAGAGTGTATGTGTAGAAAAATTGTAGGCGCTACGTTTCGACAGCTTCTTGTGTCTTCTTCAGGCGAGTTCTACACTGACTGGAGGCACTCTGTTTGGTGTCCTCTTTTATATGGTGTACAGGCTCCGCCCCCCCACTCTTGTTGAGTAACCAATGAACTAATTTAGTTTCCAATTTGTGTCTTCCTGTGACTGGTTAAGTTTAGGGCTGTTCCCCTCTATGGTTAAGGTTAGGGCCAGGAGCTAGGCTAGACTTTAGCTCTACTCTACTATGGCCACAATCTTGACAGTAGTCCAAGTGCGCATTTTGGCTGCTTGTTTCCTGCACAACATGAAGATCAATTGCGACTTGCTTATTGTCTCCACGTTTACAAGATTGTATACTAGAATTGAACAAATTTAGTTTCAAATGGGTTCTTCCCTGATGCTAATGTGCTAGTGCCTTGAGTTAAGGTCATGGTGTCCAGAGACTGGGCGAGGCACTGGCCAGTAATTAGTATACAAAGTCATTGTCCCCCGAAGGGTACAACAAAATGCACGGGCCCTCTCCCTGACTCTGGACCAAGCGGGTGTTCTGGGCACTGGCAACCACCATGATGGCCGCCATCTTGTGTCCAGGGGGTTCAAAAAATTGCTCTATAGTAGAGTGTATGTGTAGAAAAATTGTAGGCGCTACATTTCGACAGCTTCTTGTGTCTTCTTCAGGCGAGTTCTACACTGACTGGAGGCACTCTGTTCGGTGTCCTCTTTTATATGGTGTACAGGCTCCGCCCCCCCACTCTTGTTGAGTAACCAATGAACTAATTTAGTTTCCAATTTGTGTCTTCCTGTGACTGGTTAAGTTTAGGGCTGTTCCCCTCTATGGTTAAGGTTAGGGCCAGGAGCTAGGCTAGACTTTAGCTCTACTCTACTATGGCCACAATCTTGACAGTAGTCCAAGTGCGCATTTTGGCTGCTTGTTTCCTGCACAACATGAAGATCAATTGCGACTTGCTTATTGTCTCCACGTTTACAAGATTGTATACTAGAATTGAACAAATTTATTTCAAATGGGTTCTTCCCTGATGCTAATGCTAGTGCCTTGAGTTAAGGTCATGGTGTCCAGAGACTGGGCGAGGCACTGGCCAGTAATTAGTATACAAAGTCATTGTCCCCCGAAGGGTACAACAAAATGCACGGGCCCTCTCCCTGACTCTGGACCAAGCGGGTGTTCTGGGCACTGGCAACCACCATGATGGCCGCCATCTTGTGTCCAGGGGGTTCAAAAAATTGCTCTATAGTAGAGTGTATGTGTAGAAAAATTGTAGGCGCTACGTTTCGACAGCTTCTTGTGTCTTCTTCAGGCGAGTTCTACACTGACTGGAGGCACTCTGTTTGGTGTCCTCTTTTATATGGTGTACAGGCTCCGCCCCCCCACTCTTGTTGAGTAACCAATGAACTAATTTAGTTTCCAATTTGTGTCTTCCTGTGACTGGTTAAGTTTAGGGCTGTTCCCCTCTATGGTTAAGGTTAGGGCCAGGAGCTAGGCTAGACTTTAGCTCTACTCTACTATGGCCACAATCTTGACAGTAGTCCAAGTGCGCATTTTGGCTGCTTGTTTCCTGCACAACATGAAGATCAATTGCGACTTGCTTATTGTCTCCACGTTTACAAGATTGTATACTAGAATTGAACAAATTTAGTTTCAAATGGGTTCTTCCCTGATGCTAATGCTAGTGCCTTGAGTTAAGGTCATGGTGTCCAGAGACTGGGCGAGGCACTGGCCAGTAATTAGTATACAAAGTCATTGTCCCCCGAAGGGTACAACAAAATGCACGGGCCCTCTCCCTGACTCTGGACCAAGCGGGTGTTCTGGGCACTGGCAACCACCATGATGGCCGCCATCTTGTGTCCAGGGGGTTCAAAAAATTGCTCTATAGTAGAGTGTATGTGTAGAAAAATTGTAGGCGCTACATTTCGACAGCTTCTTGTGTCTTCTTCAGGCGAGTTCTACACTGACTGGAGGCACTCTGTTCGGTGTCCTCTTTTATATGGTGTACAGGCTCCGCCCCCCCACTCTTGTTGAGTAACCAATGAACTAATTTAGTTTCCAATTTGTGTCTTCCTGTGACCTGCACACACACGCGCACGCACACAGATACGCAGGTTACATTTACTTTGAGGTTTTCCCAATGAAGTCTCCCTGATGCTTCTGCTCACAGCTGGCGTGTAAAGTCATGGCTGGTCTCCTACACTTCCTCATCGTGGCCAGTTTTGTGTGGATGCTGCTGGAGGCATCGCAGCTCTTCATGCTCGTTCGGAGACTGACCAAAGTACAAGTCATCAAGAGAGACGGCCTCCCCAGACCCTTACTGTACTTTGTGGGTTACGGGGTCCCTATGGTGATAGTGGGGGTCTCAGCGGTGGTGTATTCAGATGGATACGGAGCAACTGCAGGAGCGTAAGTGATCAGCGGATGGATGTATGGTTTATTAATAGACAGCAGTGTAATGTTGACATGTGTGACTGTAGGTGCTGGCTGTCAACCACCAGAAGTTTCAACTGGGCTTTGACAGGACCTGTGATCGCTGTGCTAGCAGTAAGTTCCAAATATAATAATAAATAACAATGCATCGGTTTTATATAGCCCTTTTTTGGACACTCAAAGATTATTCCTTCTCTCCAAACACGGTGGTGATAAACTACTACTGTAGCCACAGCTGCCCTGGGGCACACTGACAGAAGGGAGGCAACCAGTCTGTGCCATCGGCCCCTCCCACCACCACCAACCATTCACACACACACCAGACTCATTCTAAGGTGGAGGAAGTGTCTTGCCTAAGGACACAACAGCAGTTTGGCACTTTACAGCCGCAGCCGCCCCACTGTGGCTGGTGTTCCCAGAGGTTAAGTGTCTTGCCCAAGGACACAACGACAGCAGACAGTGGGAGTCGGTGGAGAAAGTCTTGTGGTGGGCTCGAACCCATGACTTCAGGGTCAAAGGCAAATGCTCTACTGTTGCCCCATAACGCCCCGTTTACTGAATCAGAATTATTTTATTGCCATTTGCAGAAAAAACTGCATTGGAATATGATTGCATTAATTTATTTACCTGATCTCAGAAGCTAAGTAGTGCAGTTTCTGGCTTGTACTGTGATGGGAGACCTCTGGGAACACTGTGCTAAACTGTTATGTCCTTAGGAAAGACTTGTCACCCACATCCCCTCGTATTTCTCACAGCCTACATATGGTTTTATTCCTAAACAGATTTTTATTGTTTTCCAATGGTCTGCGCCTGTTAAGCACACTGGGTTGCTTCAACATGACTGGTACAGTAAAGAAATGTGCCGTGCCTGGTATGAGTGGTGCGGCTGTGAGTAATAGTAATGTTCGGCAAAGACAGTGAATAGACAGGACCATTCAGTTTTACAGGGGCGACAGTAGCTCAGGGGGCGACAGTAGCTCAGTTGGTAGAGCATTGGCCTTCAGGCCTGAAGGTCGTGGGTTCAATTCCCACCTCTACACCTTCTCCACCGACTCCCACTGATGACTGCTGTCGTGGTGTCCTTGGGCAACACACTTAACCCCACTTTGCCCAAAGCCCCCACTGAAAGATCAAGGCTATGCTCACAGTCAGAGAGCAGCCGTTCTCCTGTGGACTCACCACCTGCAGAGGGTCAGTGAGGGGCTGGTGCTATGAGACTTGGG